AATTTTGAAATATGTTTGCCTTCTGAAACATCTATTTAAATTGATTCTATCAATTCTAGAAAATAGAGATGATCAATTCTGACCTTCTCTTACTAAATTGCTCATAACTCTCTAGTGAAAATTCTGAATTATGCAAAACTTAATTCTTTGGAAACTAGATTCTCATATCTTTCTTTTGACACTTAACTTGGATATTTTGAAGTATATTTACCTTCTAAAACATTTGTTTAAATTGATTCTATCAATTCTGCAAAAACAGAGATGATCAATTTTGACCTTCCTTTACTCTAATTGTTGTAACTTCCTGTTAGGAACTCAAAAATTACAAATCCGAGTTCATCTGAAAATAGATTGATACTGCTTTCCAATTACACATATTTTTAGTGAATTGGAGCATGTTTGGTCACTCAAACAAATCAGGAAATGTACCATTCAAATTCTGCCAGAATTGAAAACTTTATTGAGTTTTGCCTATTCAAGTTTCATCTAATTAAAAATTTAATTTCTGCTAAATTCTTCTTCAATTGAACTTTATATTAGTTCTTTGAAATTCTTGTATTGTTCATCCTAAAATTGTTGTATGTCTGAAATTTATTATGTAATGCTTTGTTTGTATTTCCTTGTTTGATAAAGGCACACGCATATTTCCGTTGTTCCGCATGTGCCAATATTATTGTTCCTACTACCCTTTTGTACTCTGGTGTCTTGTGGGATATTGTGAACTTTTGCCAGAAATGGTAAAGGGAGTTATGATTAGAGCTCGCGATTGCTCTGCCGGCCCCATTGACTTCACTCAGACGTGGGTGGATGGAGCTCCCAAACATGGAAGACTTATGCTTGGTGGTCATCCAGAAATTGATGAATCACATTATGTATGTGATCCCACAACACCCTCTATGTTTTTGATATGATATCCAAAGCTTTGCTTATGAGTTCATATTTATACTTTGGATAAAAATGGAAAGCATGCTATATCAAAAATGACATACAAGCTTGTGTTTATTATTCGGTTCACTTGTTATACTTTAGAGTGTTTCGTATGTCATTGTTATGCTCTCAAACACTCTTACGCCTTTGATATACACCTAAATGCTTCATGTGCCATTTGATACATGCCTAAATGCTTCTTTTGCCAATGAAATGCTCCAATTTCCTTTCTCCTATTGTTTGTTATGTCTAACACCTGTTTTCGAATGAGGTAACCCTTTGTGATTTTTATATCAAATGAGATTATTTCAAATGAATGCTTGTATTTCTGCTTTTGTTATCTTGATACTAAGCCTGCTTGAACTTCTCCTATCGCCATGGATATGTTAGTCGCTTGCTGAGCTCTTTATGCTCACCCCGTTGTTATATAAATTTTTCAGGATAGCTTGTCATGCATTGAAAAGCTAGAATTGGGTTGAAGCAGTGAAAGGCTAGAAGATTTTTGGGCTAAGCTTTGTTGGTTGATAGGTTTTTGTTGTATAGTATACTTTACTTCTGATATAATATTAAGGATATGTTGATACTTATGTGTTGTAAAAGTTTAAAGGATCGCTCATGTTTATGGAATGATAAGTTTAAGTTGTATGAGGATATGAACTCATGTTAAATAATTATTTTTTTATGATTATATATATTTCTACGATTATGGATTGGTGTTGTGGTTGATGTTTAGTTGAGTTGCCTTTGGATTTTATGAATATTTGAGTGAAGTGGAGTATGATTTATGAAACGTACAGGTTTATAAATTGTGAATATTGATTTGAATGGTTTCTTAGTATCCTCAAATTTTTAGATTGGATCCTGGATTGAATTGACGATGAATTATAATATTATTGATTTTAGACAGGGTCACACCTCCTGAATGCGATAATTCGGGAGGGGGGGGGGTCGGTCGTGACAGATGTCTCTCTCGAGTAACCTATGACCGGGATTATTTAGGATCTGTGTTTAAAGGTGAATCAATCTCATTATCGTGATCTCATCACTATCCGATTCTCGTTGCATAGATCCAAAGACATCACAATATATATATGCTTATATGTAATAGTCAATATAAAGTGATAAATGCCAAAATATAATAAGCAAAAAGATTCCGTGTCAAGTCACACGTGCTATCACTCACGTAATTGGTTTGCTGAGCACCTATGACTAGCAAAGATACCATATGCCTCAACGATAAGGTTTATCATTTATGTCATGCTATGTATCAAGCTTGATATAGCGCATGCTCTGAGTATCACGAGCAGGTATCAGGCGGATCTAGGCTAAGAGTATTGGAAATCAGTAAAGTGTATCCTTTAAATACTTGAGAAGGACTAAGGATCTTTTACCGGTATATGGAGGTAGTAGCCTCAGGGTTGAATGCTACATAGACTCGAGTTTCCAGTCCGATGTCGATAATGGTAAGTCTAATTTGGGGTATATGTTCACCCTGAATATAAGAGCAGTATGTTGGAAGAGTTCCAAGCAAGATACTACTGCTAACTAGACCATAGAGGTAGAGTACATTGTTGTAACAGAGGCAGTAAAGGAGAGAGTCTGGATGAATAAGTTCATCACAGATTTTATGAGTTATGCTGGACAGCAAGGAGCCGATTCCCTTATATTGCGACAACTATGGGGCGATTGCTCAAATGAGGGAACCCGGGTCTCATCAGAAGTGTTATGAGAATGTTCCAACTTATTAAAGAGATCGTGGCCTAAGGAGATATAGCAGTGGAAAGAGTTCCATTCGAGGATAACATCGCAGATCTACTGACAAAGTTGTTGTCTCATATTGTCCTTGAGCGTCATAGGGGTCTGATGGAGATCAGATAATAGGTAATTGACTTTAGGTCAAGTGAGAGATTGCTAGTCATAGGTGCTTTGAAAGCTAATCATGTGAGTGATTACACGTGTGACATGATAAGTATTCTTTTTATTTATTATATTTTGATATTTTTATCACTTTATATTGCTTATTGCATATATGCATATATATTGTGATATCCGTATATTTGTGTAATGGAAATTGGATCGTGATGATATCATGATAATGAGATCGATTCGCCTTTAAACATAGTCCTTAAATAATCCTAGTCATAGGTTACTCGAGTGGGACATCGAGATAACTGGATAGATTGGTGTACTATATACCCGTCCATATGATGGAGGCAGCTGGTCTCATAGCTGCTCGTGTGGGGACATTAAGGATACAATGCAGGTGCTCATTGGAGAATGAGTTCACTGATTGATTCACTCACGGAATACTGAATGGTTGATGCCTTATTATCAAATAACGATTCCGTAGTCCCGGTAGTGCATTTGGTCCTCAGACTTGAGACACCAATGATGTCCTGTATGAGCCCTCTTCCCCCCACTCTGGTCCCCACGAGTTCTTCACTATCCAGTACTTCATCCCATCCTTAGATGTCCCATAGCCTACGTTGGCCACTCCATGATCCAACTCTGTTCCACAGCTCCCTGTGAAGACAGCCTAAACCAAAGCAGCAGAAAAGTGTTGTCTTTGAAACCTGTTTACATAAAAAGAGAAGCATGGATGAGAGTTGTGCATACCTCGGAGTAGAACTGGAAGTCCTGACCGCTTGCTTCGATTGCTACTGATACAGGTTGGTTCGCCACTGCTCTCAGCAACGCATCCTCGTCGTTGACGGGAACGTCCTCATATCCATCGATCACAACCGCAGGAGATCTCTCCTATAAATAACAATGATATGTATAGAGTTTACGAAGAAGATAATGACTACAACTAAGCAAATTAACATGTAACTCTTTTTACTTTGCATTGTTCTTGTCGAGCTACATAAGGATAGTTTTCCTCTGTTGTGATCCCTCCATTTCTTTCGATGAAATCGAATGCATCATCCATCATACCTCCATCGCACCCTTTGTTGGTGTTGGTGTCGCAATCCACCAGTTGTTGCTCTGACAAGGAGATAAGCTCGTTGGTATTGATCTGGTTTATTCCCTCCACCGAAACTACTGTCGAGAAGGCCCAGCAACTTCCTGCAATAATTCATACCAAATTTTCATTTATTTCGATCGAGCACATCAACAAAAATAAAATATTTTGAGCTCACCGCATTTGCCTTGGTCTTTGATAGCAGTGACGGCACCCTTCTGCCTCCAGTCGACGGTGGGAGTTACATTGGTGACGTTCTTGTATAAGAAGTACCCTTTGAGGTTCGCGCTTCCTCTGAGAGTGCTGCGGCGACGAATCCTCGTCCCTGCGTACGTCCTCTTGAACTCCTCCCTCGCCGTATCGCCGAACTTGTTGAGGCTAAGCTTGTAAGGCTTGGCTTTCTTGTTGGACGCGAACACGTAGTTAGCGTTCTCTTTAAAAACATCAAAGCGGATGCGCTTCTCGTCGACGCTGCGTGACACGCCATGGTGGCTCTGCCACCTCACGTACAAGTCCCAGAGCTTCTCCTCCGACGCGATGTCATCTCCAGTGATGGGAATGCTCGTGCCCATTGCCAAGGCCAACGCAACGAGAACGGCAGCGAACAAGAATGCTCTTCTCAAGGTGGTGAACGAGGAGAAACCAAACACAGGATGGAGGTAGGGTTAGGGATCGGAGGAGGTATCTATAGAGATGTTGGGAGTGAAGCATGACGACTGGGCGGTTAGGAGATTAGGGCATGGTCATGGGAGAGGCTCACTTTTACGTAACTGTTATTGGCATCTTCTTAAGCGATGCATGCATGCATGCATACGTCGAAAAGGTATCCTCTTCGGGTAGTTTGATGTGCATGGGTTCGGGCAGAAGCTTCCAAGCCAATATGGGAGAAGAGTGTGTAGTCCTATAGAAATGGGAACTGTGAGGTTGCATATCCAAATCGCAATTAGCGTTTGATTAGGGAAAGAGATGGATATTATGAAGCCTCATATAGCTCGATGAATTATATTGATCAAAATGTAGCATAAATAAGACTAAAGATTAACTCGATCGGTAAGTCTCTAAGAATAGCTTTTCTACAGCTTCAGATGAAGCATTCCATAATTCATTACTATATTGAGCTTTGGCATCTTCCTCGACGAGGATTCTCTGGAAGTCGTGATCAAACTGGAAGTTGGAAAAGATGCTCAGCTTTTCACATTCTTAGATTTGATAAGAAAATTGCATATATATTACAAATTTCATGTACAAATTGATCAAAATAACACCTGAAATAATTTGGCACCGTTTATCTAAAAGAAATTTACATTACACTAATTGCTAGAACTTCTCAACTGGCAAGTTCACTTCACAGAATCCCTAGGGAAGTTTGGAAAAGTTACAAACATCAAGGCAAGGTTTGACTTGGAACAGCACATCTTCACCTCAGAAACAACTACAAAATAAAAGAACCCACAATATTTAACAAAAAAAGGTACCTTGTTCTTTTGTTTGATAATAAAGTACATATTAAAATTGCTTTTCTAATGGCCATGTCTTCTACACAAAAAGCCCAATCAGAAAGGCCCAATTTCAAGTATAAGCTTGTTCAGTTTCGAGTTTTCTTTGTACCATATACGAGAACTCATTATCTCCTTGTGGTGGTGGCATTTCAATCCTATCTCCAATGAGGTATTTTCACTTAACCCGACTCTTTCCTCGGGTTGAGGTCCTTCATAACAGATGGTTCGGGGATCGATACGATTTGATTTTGTGTCGAGAGCGTAAGATGGTGCATGTGGATTATTAAGCAAAGGAGGAAAGAGGAAAGAGGAACGAGGTTGGGTTGGGAGGTTGGCTCTTAAGCTTTTGTTGTGTCTTTGTGATCGACTCGAGGTGGGACTTGAGTCAACCCTCCTACGTCATGTTTCTGCATGATTGGTCAATATCGAGAGGGGAGGGATTCCCGACTCAACCCCTTCGATATTTAAGTTAGCAAGTGGTTTATGTATTGTAAAGGGTTCGATCCCTTTTCCTAGACTAGAGAGTTGGCTTTTATACCTAGGGAGCCGACCCAAAGGTGCACAGGTCATTAATGCTCGTCGTTGTCTTTATTTGGTGCAATCACATGAGTGACCAACCCATACATCCCTGACGGTGCGGGTCGACCTATGCAGACTTCTGTCATGCGATACTGACTTGTACGACCTAGACGACACGGAGTCGATTGTCCGTCGTGTGCCAAGTTAGCCATTCTCTCCTTCGGTCGATCTGTCATGACCTTAGCTGGAATTTCCTAAGGCGTGAGGTACCCTTGCGGCCACGACGTGAACTTAGCTTGCGTTGCCTAAGTCACGAGGCACCCTTGCGGCAAAGACACGAACTTAGCTTGCGTTGCCTAAGTCGCGCTTTGCCCTTATGATATTGCTCCGCAAAGATCAGCCTACTTGTAACCTCTCGCAGGTCCCGAAGGACTTGTAAAAAGAGAAAGTTGATTAGTTCGAAGAGTGAGCGACGGACAAGTCCCGACGTCTCGTGAAAGGGGAAGCTTTACAAGCAATTCAGCGAGCACCTTGCGTGCACAAGAGAAAAGAGGGAGAGGGGGAAAACAAGGACTTTAGAGGGTTGAACAAACAGCTGCAAGTCCACAAACAGCTGCTCACCGGGTGCCGGGCGCGACAACAAGTTCCCGTCAAGGTAACGTGTGAACTTGCGAAAGGTTGTTCAATGCCTGACACTATACCGAAGCCCCATCCAGCCTTGTGCCACCCGGGGTGTTCAAAGGGGCTAAGATGGCTGACGTTTTGGTGAGCAGAAGCGGACTACAGAAAACTGCTAGTCATAGGTGCCTAGCAAGCCAATCACGTGAGTGATGGCACGTGTGACTTGATACAGAATCTTTTTGCTTATTATATTTTGGCATATATCACTTTATAACTATTACATATATACATATATATATTGTGATGTCCTTGGAATGGGAATCGGATCGTGATGAGATCACGATAATGAGATCGATTCACCTTTAAACACATATCCTAAATAATCCCGGTCATAGGTTACTCGAGAGGGACATCGTGATAACCGGACATACTGGTGTGTTGTATACCCGTCCATATGATAGATGCAGCTGGCCTCATAGCTGCTCGTGTAGGGACACTAGGGATACAGTACAGGTGCTCATTGGAGAATGAGTTCACTGATTGATCCGCTTACGGAATGTTGGATGGTTGATGATGCCTTATTGTCAGACAGTGATTCCATAGTCCTAGTGGTATATTTGGTCCTTAGACTTGAGACACCAAGGATGTCCTGTATGAGTGCTCTACTCTTTGATACCAGACTTATAGGTTTGGCTGTCCCAGATCTAGTATAGTTGGTTATTGGGAGTGGTAGTCGACCTTACGAGTGCTATTGAGTGTCGATAGAGGATCATCCACTCTCGGCGTCATGAGAGGAATATCTCATGTGTTCTTGCTCAGACAAATCCCTGGCCAGGGTCATTCGGATTGAGAGAGAAAAAGTTCTCCGGGAGAATCCAATTAGAGCGAGACTCGAGTAGAAACCGTATGGGTCTGATAGCACCATGCTCGATATACGGTCTTTGGGATATTAGATGGATGAGGGACTATATGTACATAGTAACTGAGGACAGACAGGTCCAATGGATTGGATTCCCTTGTATCGTCTAGGGACTACGGCGTAGTAGCCTAGTACGTCCGTAGTCGATGAGTCGAGTGAATTATTACAGAGATAATAATTCACTGAGTTAGAAGGAGTTCTGACAAGTATGACTAACGGCCAGCTCGATATTGGGCCTAGAGGGTCACACACATATGGTAGGCATTGCGATGAGTAGAGGTTCGAATATGAGATATCCGATGGAGCCCTTGTCTTATTGGATCCCATGGACGAGATCCAATAAGAGCCCATGAGAGATTATTGGATAGAGATCCACTAATCTAAAAGGCTTGGGTTATTGGATGCAGATCCAATACCCACTAGGAGAGGATCCATTAGGGTTTGACAGGGGACCTCTATAAATAGGAGGGATTCAGAGCCTCATAGGCTAGAGCCTTTGCTTGCCTCTCTTATTCTCCTCCCCCTCTCCACCTCAGAGCAGGCCTGGAGTTTTGAGGAGCGTCGTCGTAGCCCTGTTGTGTGGATCACCGATAGAGAGGAGGACGCTTGACCTCCTTCACCCTCTCCTAAAGATCTGCAAGGAAACAGGGATATACGATCTCCCTAGGTAACACAATCTACTCTATACACATTTTTCAGTTTCGCGGATTTTGCGCACTAATCTTCGCACGATGATGAAAATCTCTTTGGGAATCGGGGATTTTATTTTCTTGTTCCTTTGCTGCGCATGTGATGTCGCCCCCAAAGATTTTTCCAACAGTGGTATCAGAGCCAGGTTGTTCGTGCGATAGATTGGTTTTAAACTGCGTGTGTTGTGTTTTGGAGAAGCTTTTGACATCAAAATCGTTGACGCAAAAGCGAAAAGGGCAGCAACTGTTGCTGCCCTCGCTGCCGTCGCAGATGGCAACACTGCCATCTGCGTGCAGGCGGGTAGCCTGCAGTAGCAGCCGCAAGGGCAGTGGCGCCTACGGTTGCAGCTCTCGCGTGGTGACGCGCCGCAGGGCAGCAGCGCTTGTGGCCGCTGCTCCCGCGAGCAAAACCCTGCAGGGGCGACCGCCCGGCGAGGCAGCACCGCCTGCGGACGTTGCCTCACGGGCAGAATCGCCCGCCCGCTGAGGCGGCGGCGCCCGCGGGGGCGCCCAGCTGCAGGGGCAGCGCCGCCAACGGGCATGCCGCCTGCTGGCGAGGGCAGCGACCTCGCCCACCGCCGGCAAGGAGGCGGCGGCAGCAGCAGGGGAGGATGAGGGCATTAGGGTTTTCTAGGCAAAAGATAGTTTTGCCCCTCGGAATTTGAGAAATTTCAATTTCTGTCTTTTATCTAAATTATGAAAATACCCCTAGGAATTAAGAAATTTCCTATATGTCCCTAATTTCATAAAATACTAATTAATTAAAAAGTTTAGTTGATTATTATTTTTATTATTATCTAGTAGTCCTACATGATGATGATTATTTATACATGTGATGTATGATATGTGGACGGATGATCATGGACCGTGTGATGTGTGTACTTGTGATTATTATTATTGGGTCTGCAAGCCTCAATTATATTTCTCATTTATTGTCGGGCATACGTGCCTATGATTAAGTTGTAATCACATAAGGAGACGCAGCGGGAGCATGGATGCGATAGCGGGACCCACGAGACGGACAATCGCGATGCATGAAGATGCATCGAGATGTCGACGGAACCGACGAGGACGAGATGGACGATCACAGGGCTTGGAGATGCACCGTTGCACACATAGATCTTGATGTGAGTGATTAGGCCTACTAGCTCAGGCCTAATCACATTATGTTGTGGTCCATGATCATCTGGTGTAATTGCTTATACACAAACTAGATTTGTATATATATTTGCATGTGATGTAGATATATATTAAATATGTATATGTGCGACATGTCATATTAGAAGACCAAATCATAAAAACATCTCTCTCAACAATATTAAGTCGGTAAACGTGAAGCAATTAGATTGACCCACATGGCCTTCCATCGTTATAAGTAGGAACCGATTCCCGTTGACTCAGTTAATAGGAACTTTAGCTACAAGATGCTCCTCGGTATGAACTTCCCTTAGCAATGGGTTAATTGGATTCAATGTTGCTTAGAAACTCCAAAGTTTTCAATACTCTTCAACGGCTCACTTATTGGTTTTTTTGGGAGCAAGAATGACATCCGACAAGACGATCCACTCTCTCCATATCTCTCTTCTTTTTTTTTTTGATAAGCGTCTCCATATCTCTTTACTATTGTAATGAAAGGACTTAGCTGTATGTTGGAATATGCGGTCTCTGATGGCAGTATTAAGGTACCCCATGCTGGCCCTATTCATATATCACATATAATATTTGTAGATGATCTTCTTATCTTTCTTCAGAATGATTCAACTTTAGTAAGAAACCTGGCTACTATTCTGAATGATTTTGGTATAGTTTCTGGCCTTCAGTTAAATCATGCGAAAAATAAAGTCTACATGAGCCCTTGCATTGAGGACAAAGACGTTATTGCACATACTCTAGGGGTTAGTGAGGGAAATCTCCCGGTTACATATCTGGGTCTCCCACTCATATCCACTGGCATTCACAAAACTCACTGTCAGCCTATTCTACGACTATTGCATTGTACATTATGATGTTGAATATGATGTGGTTATATTTTTGAATCTTGAGTTGGTGCATATAATCCGTATTGTTACATTTACAAGGAACCTATTCTTGCTGAAGTAACCCAATCTATGTTTTGAGAGGAACTAAATAAATTTCAAGAACCAGGTTCTCATTCTAAAGTCACTTTGTTTAGCTTTTCAATATTCTGATGTTTAAACTTTAAAGTACAATTTGTATTTGTTCTATTTCTGATTTGTCTTAAAGTCTTTTCCTTGACTATCATGGATACTAGCTTGAAATATTAATTCGGTAAGCCAAATGATGGTACAATCTTTTCAGTGTCTGAACTATCATAAGGAATGCTTCTTGATATACTTAAATTTCTCAGTTTTTTGTCGATTCCTTCAGCTATGCTTTATCATTGCCCAAAGCTCAGGCAGTGGCTCAGGAGACATTGGCAGTTTGGTGTTCTCTTGCTTCTAGATTAGGTGTTTGGGCTTTAAAATCAGAACTGGAAGATTTGTGCTTTGCAGTCCTTCAGGTCTGTTTCCAGTGTCTTTCTGAAATGGACTTGCAGAAACTATTGAAAAAAAATGAAAAGATTTCCTAGTTGATCAACATTCAGGATTATTTGTTGCTCAATTGTCATGCTTTTTTTTTTTTTCATATTTAATGCCAAAAACTGTTAGTCATTCTGAAGCATTCAGTTCTCTCAATTTGTCCCACCCACTGTGTTCTCATTCATAAGCATTAACTGCTAGTCTTCTTGTCTAATGTAAGTAAATAACATGGTTAATCTGTTAGCTATTTCTCACTAGGAAAACTTGCACTTGGCTGATAGCCTAATATCCTTTATTTCTTTTCTTTTTGTACCATGGCAATTTGGATGATATGATGACAAGAAATTAAACCCATGTTGTTTGTTGAAGAGATTGAGATGGTAGAACCACAAATTATCCACTTCGAGAGTGAAATATAGTATTTATCGTGTTTGTGATTGCTTACACCATGTACTGTTCATTAGAGAACTGCACAATAACATGTTTGAAGGTTCGATGTGGCCTTGTCATATATGTCAGTGCAGTACAGACATTAGAGTCCATGCGGCTGGCATAATGACATTACAGTAGGAAGTAGGGAAAAAAGAGTAGGGAAAGAAGAAAGGATACAAAAAGAAACTTTATGCAAGATTACAATATGCAATATTACACCTAAGGTTCGCTGTACTATCCACTCGGTACAAGTGGTACATACTGGTCCGATAGTAGACTGATACAGGCAGTAAATTGGTACATCCCCATGTGCCATGTATCAATATATTCGGTACGTATCATCCCGATGGCTGGTCAGTACATCCGTATGGACTGATAAGACTAAACCCTATTAATCTATGTTACAAGGAGCAACCTATCTTGTTCCCAGGCTTATCCTCAATTAGAACCTCATTGGTTATTAACAAAATTTTGTTTTTTCCTTCTAATATCCTGTTATGCAAACATTGGTACTAAATATTTTTTTCTTCTTAATCAAGCTGCAACTAGTCTTATGACAAAATTGCTGAAATGACATTGAGTCTAGTAGAGTAAATTGCAACTTCTTGGTCAACTACTGCTGGATAATAAGCTTGCACTGAAAAATGAATCCAATTTGAAGAGTAAACATTAACAATATTGTTATATTCCCTACATGGAAAGACAAAATAGCTGATACAGCATCAATTTCCAAGCAATATGAAGCAAGTAGCACAACATGCTTACTCTTTGCAGGGCAAGGGAAGGCATCACACTATTTTACTAACCACTGCCATGAATAACAGTACGGAGTTACTCTTTCTGGAAGTTAACAATCGATCATCATCTTTATGTGTGCTTTGAAGTGCTTGTTTGGAAATAATTGTCTTCTTTTTCAGCCAAAAAGATCTACAATATAAAAAAATTTCTTTATCTTGTATTCATATGCAAACTAATACCTGCAGATGCAGGAGCAATCGTTATACTTCCTGAATTAGGTTAGCTTGGTCTGTCTGACTCTCTCGTCTGCATTATAATTTTTAGCTGTATGAGTAGTGATAGGAAAGAGAAACCTTGCTGTCATTTAGCTGTGTAAATTTCACTTTGACATAGTTTATTAGTAACTCTTAAACTTACATGCAATTTTCTTCAGTTTAACATTCATGTTGAATCTTTTGCAGCCACGGGTATTTAGGATAATCCGAGCTGAGCTTGCTTCCATGTGGGCTCCAAATAACAAGATTCGTAATTTTAGGAGAGTGTCTATGAAGGCTGGCCTTCTAACCCCATCAAAAGATGATGGTATAATATTTCATGATGGTTGGCCTATCGAAAACAATGAAGAAAGAAAAAATATGAGAGTGAGTATGATTTGCAAGAATTTCTATGGTTTGGTTGCAGTGTTTCAAATTAACAACTAAGATACTATTGTAAAGAGTAATACAAAGCTAAAACAATATTTATGACATGTTATGTAATTTGCATTTTTGAAATGAAGAAAACAATATTTTAGCTGCAAGAAAATGATTTGTGTCATTCAACAACTCTGGAAGCATGTTATACCCAAAGTTGTAAGGAAATTGAAAAGCTTAGTTCATAAATAAAAACAAATATTGCAGTAGAGAATGAAAGACAATACTGATCTAATAGCAGCTGAAGGAAGTAAATCAGAGGTTCCTCATGTCATGGCTTGGGATGTTAGGTCGTGAATGATGCAAAGATAACTAAGCCGATGAGATCAACAAATACAACGCTTTTAGCATGCTGCTGCGAGTTACTTTTATGTGGACCTATAATACAACCATAGAAAAAGATATGTCAAGATAGTTGACGACTAGATGATCTGCAGGATGCAAACACTCGAGTGAGAGAACAACCTTGAGTTTGGGGTTCCTTTGTCATCTTTTAATTAAATGCATAAATGGTTATGCTGGTCCATGGACAACTGCAATGCTGCACTATATCATATCAGTGATATCTCAGCAGTTTACATGTGTGCAAACCCATGTATTGGCCATAATTAATTGTTCTCTACTTAATCATGGGCACCTTTCTCAGTATAGTATGGGCCACTAATAAAGTAGCACAGATGTCTTTTTGCTGAATTGCCTTGGCACTTTGGTGGGTTCCTCATCAGCATGTCATGCCTGGTATCTTACTAGAAAATCAAGGACCTTCATGTTTTTACATGCATGCAAATGCTCAATTATGTTCTGATTCTCCTGAGGAGGATGTAAAAGAAATTCCAAAAATGTTAGTATTCTCCTTTAAGTCAAATGACACAAAAACATGTCCTAAGCAGCATTTCTGGAGAAGGTAGCACAAACATGGTAGACCAGACCTATCTCTATGTATTTTTGGATGTTTATTTTGCTACAATATGCTGATACTTTAAGCAAGGAAAGCTTTCACAAAAGTTTAGATTCATAGTGAGGTCAGAGGTGAACCACAGGGCTCCTGATTTTTCTTAAAATTTTGAGGTAAAATTTTAAGAAAAATGTGATGTGTTGTGTTTCTAAATGAGGTAAAATGAGCATCAAAATTTATCTTTT